CCAGGAGTTTGAGGTTGCCGTGAGCTAGGCTGATGCTATGGCACTCTAGCCCGGGCAATGCAGTGAGACTGTCTCAAAAAATAAATCACTAAATAATACAGAACATGGCAGATGCTAAAGTAGAGGTTCTGCAGAGGCTGGCAGGAGGGCAGAGGCAGGATCTCGCTGTATTTTCTACAGACATGAAACAATCCCTTGTCATCTTTCTTCCCAAAGCCCCAGGAGCTGGAGTGGATGGGGGAAGAGAAGATACAGAAAGCTCAGGATCCACCTTTGCTCTGGGGATCTGGATCCTCACTGAGGCCGTAAGAGGGAGTGCTGGCCTCAACTCAGCCACTAAGTGGCTGTGACCTTGGGGTGCTACTCTCTGCCTGTAACCCTGGAAGTAGGGTTTGGACCAGTCCTATTAGAGTCTTTCTTGAATACCTGGTGTTCTCCCCAGCTTGCCAGGTCAATGAGTAGACACCTGGGATAATGAGTTGGAGGGCAAAAGCCACCACCTCCGAGAAGGCTGCCTGGATATTCCTTTGCCTCTGCCTGGCAAGAACCTCTGTAAGCTCCAAGGTCTAACTCTGGGTGCAGCTCTGCTGTAGACTCTCCTGTGACCTCCCAGGAGATGAGTCTGTGGCTTGCACAAGCTTCCACCGTGAGTGGAGGTCCTTCTGATGCACGGGAGAGAGGGCTTTGCGCCATCACCCTCTCTAAATTGCAAATTCCATGATGTCATCTTCATGCTCCATTACTTAGCACATAGCAGGTACTCAATGCTCTTTGGACAGATGAACAAATTAATGAACGTCAAAGTCTCATCTCCTCCTTCACAGCCCAGTGCCAATGTCACTGCCCCTGGAAGTCTTCCCTGTCCCCCCAGGTAGAAGTCGTCTTGCATGTCCTTGTCCAATAGGATGCTGTTTGAAGGTCTAAGTTAGAACAAGGCTGTTCTTTTTCTGTGAAGAACCAGATAGTAAATATGTCTCAGTGGGCCATATGGTAACTGTTTCTACTACCTGATTTTGCCATTGTAGCAAAAAATGTAGTTCAGCCATGGAGAGCACAAATGAATGAGCATAGCTGTGTTCCAATAAAACCATTTACGGACACTAAAATTAGAATCTCATAGAATTTCCACATGTCGCAAATATTATTCTTCTTCTGATTTTTTTCCAACCATTTATGAATTAACAAAACATTTCTAGCTCGTGTGCTGAACAGAAACAGGCCACAGTCTGTGTTTGTCCTGCAGGCCACAGTATGCCAGCACCTGCTGCAGAACTTATTAAGATCGACTTGTTAATAGGCTTATTTTGGTCTCTCCTAGTAGTCTATAAAAAGAGCAGAATAATTAAGAACACTGCCTTTGGACACAGATGGGTCTGTATTAAAATTCTCATTCCTGATTCCTTCTCTTACTTTCTCCCTTTCAGCCAAAGTCACTAGCCAGGTAGGCCACGAACGGCTGGAGGCCAGCCCAGTGGCGGCCAGGACTCACACGAGAAGGGCGTATCGGCCTCCCAGGGCTGTTGGAACAGAATGGGGGGCTTGAAACCACAGAAATGTATCGTCTCACTCTCCCGGAGGCTGGAAGTCCAAAATCAAGGTGCCAGCGGGGCCACGTGCTCTCCGACAGCTCCAACGGGGAATCCTTCCTGACCTCCTACAGCTTCCGGTGGTTCCCTCGGAGACCCTTGGCTTGTAGACACAGCACTGTGGTCCCACAGCCGTCTGCTCCCAGTGTGTCCTCTTGTCACATTCCCTCGAGGGCCGTCTGTGTCTAAACTTCCCCTGTGTACAAGGACACTGGTCATATTGGATTAGGCCCACCCTAAAAAGTCTGCATTTTGCTCATTTTGACCTGACCACCTCTGTAAAGACCCTATTCTGGGGTACTAGGAGTTAGGACTTCAGCATATCTTTTCTGGAGGCACAATCCAAACCCGAGCAGAGGATGTCAGTGCAGGGAGGTGGGCTATATGCAAGAGGGTGGGGCGGGTGTCCGGGGAGGGAAGGGAGCAACTAAGTAGACATTCCAGTGATAACAATAGTCTGGTTCTGACAGCCAAGGAGGGAGGTGCAGATGTAGACAGGGAGAATGCTAGAAAGAACCCTGTGGCGTCAGGCTGGAATTGGCCGTATCAGGGTGAACTTACAGTCTTCAGATACAGAAATATACATAGCTGTAAACATGCACATTCATTCATTCATTCATTCATTCATTCATTCATTCACTTCCCAGCACTGTCCACTGAGAGACCCGAGGGCAGTGACCGGCACAGCAGGGAACAAGCACACCTTGTGCTTAGATCTTGGCTCTAAGAACCTTTCTCCGTGAAGGGGAACCAGAGCTCCCTGGAGAAATGCCCACGTCCAGGGCTGGGGCAGGAAAAGTACAAGATGGGACAAGAGCACCTTATGGAGCCCGGAGGTCAGGAAGGTCTCAGAGAACCGCAGGGCTATGGCGCAGTAAGTAAGGAGCCAGCCTGCAGGAGCTGTCGCTGGCCACAGCTGGGGTGATCTAAGCATTAAAAGAAATAATTATCATAACTGACTATAAAACATTTAATAAAACCAAAATCCGTGAGTCCACAGTGATTAAATAAATGAATAATAACATGAAAAGGAAATAAAGCTCTTCCTTAATTAGCATGCCAACTAATAAATGCAAAGGGAATGATGGGATTTTACAAATCACCATTTGGTAATCATTGTCATGATAACATTGATTTTAATTAAGGATCGTCATTGCAAACCGAGATTTTTGCTGGAAGTGGGAAGAGGAAGCTTAAAGGTAGCTCTCGAAGGAATACGTACGAATTGTTAATACAATGAGAGCTGGGGAAAGAAACTCACAATGGAGAAGCGTGGCGGACGCCACCTTAATCAAGTGACCGAGTGAGCATCATTGGTGATGGGACGAGCTGGCACCGGATGGGGCACGCCGAGAAGCATCCAGCACCACTTCTGTGTTATTCTGGCCAAAAATGCGTGAGCTGGGTCTAATAGTCAATCCGAAACCGAGGGACATTCTGGGAAACAGCTGGCCTGCAGTCTTCAAAGGCGTCAAGGAAACCAAGGCAACGGCTCCAAACCGGAGAGCCGTGGCGACTCGATGCAATGCCCGGGTCCACGGGCCCTTCGCGGTGAAATATATTATTACCGAGACCGTCTCGAGTGGGGTTTGCACACGAAGGGCCCGTGAGAGTTCTCTGGGACCACTCTCAGCACTCTCTGTATTTTGAAATAGTTTTGGAATAAACATAAAAATGGGGGAAATGCCATGTTACCATCTACCGCTACTGCTATGTTCCTTCTGACGAGGTATTTTGCTCTTGATGCCTCAATTTCCTCCTCTGCGGGGTGAAGACAGGAGCAGGCACCTGAAGGCCACTGTGGGGCGGAGGAGGGGGAGGCGCTGGGTCCGGCTCCGGTCACAGAGAAAATGCTCGTGCCGCCGCCATCGTCTGCATTAGGTTCTTACCAAGGTCCCACTGGGCTTCTTAGACTCTACGATGTCATCGATTGTCAGACACGTCATTTAATGTACCACTGAGGGGAAAAAGTGTTCAGTTAGACGCCGACAAAGTCACTCAGTCCCATGGCGACACCAGGTTGACCAAGTGACTAGAGTGAACACCTTAGTGACGGGACAGGCTGACACTGAAACGCTAGTGCTTAGCGAGAGCTCTTTTGACCTATTCGGGCGCAGATGTGCACGCTGTGCCGCTCGACTGATCACTCACGGACGGAAAGGGTGATGAGCCAGGTGGACCGGGTGAGGGTTCCCGCGACGTCTCCCCACTTGGAGCCCGGTGTGGTGGAGTCACTTCGACTCGGAGCCTCCGTGTCTTTGTTTTTCCGCCCAACAGCGTGCTCTGTCCCCTCAAGGCCACCAGGGCCCTTGGCCCCGGCGGACACAGCAGCGGCAAGGACCAACCAGGCCCGGTGTCCAGCGACTTCGAGGCCGACTCGCACCTCCATCCCCTCAGCCCCTTCAGCTGGCCGCTGTCCCCTTCCCCAGGCGGGGGGCGTCCTCCTCTCAGACAGGAGAAATGCGATGCGTTTCCTCTCACCTAGACTCCAGTAAGGCTCTGCAAGGCGCTGGACCGACCCTGTCTTTATCAAAAGTTTTGACAGTTTGTTCACCATGGACGCTTTTTGCATTAATTTTGATTTTTTTTTACCATATTGCACGAAAACGTGATTTGATTACTGAATTTTCGGGTGCCTCCTTAAATTTTATGCGAGAGAGAGAGACACACAGAGAGTGCACCTCATTTACCTTTGCCTTGACGCTGCCAGCCGTGCGGTGCTCAGGGAGTGATCAGTCACTCATTCACTCACTCACTCATTCGTTCATTTCACGCGGTCACTAAGCATCTCCTCGGCGCCGGGCCGAGTGCTGGACGCTGGGGGAGGGTGTGAGCCAGCCCCGAAGGCATGTTGGGGAGACGCCATCGTGACCACGCACGACTGACAGACACGTTGGAGGCGCAAGGCAAAACAGGACACCTGGGAATCAAAATGCCACCGGCTACTGCTTGAGGGGTTGTCCCGGGGCTGGCGCCGAGCGAGGGTCTCCCATGCAGCCTCTCGCCAGATTCCTGTGACAGCCCTTCCAGGTGGCAGATGCTCCTGTAACCATCGCAAGGGAGGTTCCTGAGGCTCGGAGAAGTTGCACGCAGGTGATGTGCCCAAGGTCACGCTCTAACAAGTAATGGGCTCGGGAGGCCAGCCCAGGTCTGTCTGGCTCTGGGCTCGCACTGGCTGAGTTACTGCAGCCACCTCCCTCTGCACCCCCACAGGCAGTCTGGGAAGGCTGCATGGAGGAGGCCCTGCTGAGCTGAGGCTTGAAGAATGCGTAGGAGTTTACAGGGAGACAAAGTGGGGTAGAAGTCCTTCTAACCGAAATAAAAGCAAAGTCACGTCCACAGTTCTAAGAAGCGGGGTGATGCTTATGAAAAGTCATTTGTACAGAAAGGTCTTGGACCGGCACTGCTTCCTCTTTCTGCTTCTCTGTTTCCTAACGACGTCAGCATAAATAGGAAGCGCGTGAGGCTCACTGCCGTCTGGAGACTCCAGGGGAAGGCTGGTCTGTCCTGCCACACAGAGGTACCGCTGGGCTTTCAGAAACTGGGCTAAAAAGGGGGGGGGAGTGCAGGGAATCAAGGCTGGAAAAGGCTAGGGGCATCTGGGGGTGTCATGTGGGCAGCAGTGCTCTGCGGGCGTGAGGGGGTGGCTAGGGCTTGGAAAGACCTGAGCCTGACTCCTCAGGCAGCCAGTGGGTAGCGAGACAGCCAGGGGTGCCAACCTGCTTGGATGTTGTACGAGGGCTTTGGAGGGACCCAGCCTCACTGGCCTCACCAGCCGGAGCCGGTTGTCCTGGTGGGGAGGACACCTTGGAGGCAGAGAGCACTCAGGCCTGAGAGTCAGGCATCTGGGTTCTGTCTGTCTTTGCTTTGTCACTAAGGTGCTGGTGGCAGTGAGAGTGCCCTGGGCTTCTAGCTCCTCATCCATGGAATGGAGAGAGTGTGGGTATGCCTTGGCATCCCGGTTTTAGAAAGAGACAGAGCATGCATGCCTCTGTGCGTCAGTGTGTCTGTACGTGTGCATGTGTGTGTGTGTGTGCAAATCACAGATGCACAAGAGACTGAGAGGCAGGGGCTGAGACCTGGAGCCCTGCTGTGCTGGGCCTGGAGCTGGGTGCCGCTAGGAAGCTCACTGGGAACTTGAGAAGGGGCCTGGTCCCTTGCCCGGAGATGCAGAGGGCACTACCTGGCAATCTCCCTTTTTGTTAACTGTCTCCCTCCACCCTGAACCGCTGTTGCTTATGTGGGTTTGGGCCCAGCTGTGTGTGGCTGCCTGGGTGGGCGTCCGGGGGTGTCTGCTTTGGGGTGGGTGCAGGTGTGTGCTCGTCCTGAGGCTGGGAGGGCAGGTGTTTCAGTGGGTCTGCATTTGGACAGGAGCCTATGGGCAAGTCGCATATGTGCAATTTTTAGTCTTCAAAGGCCCTGTGGTTATATTTTTGCATAACCAGATTATAATATTTTTCTATCCTCTTTCCTGGTTTTTAATAATTTTATAATGAGTAAACCTTTCCAATTAGCTTTTGGTCACTCTTCTTTTAGTCACCGATTTATTTATTTATTTATTTTTTTGAGACAGAGTCTTACTCTGTTGCCTGGGCTAGAGTGCCATGGCGTCAGCCTAGCTTACAGCAACCTCAAACTCCTGGGCTCAAGCGATCCTTCTGTCTCAGCTCCCGAGTAGCTGGCATGTGCCACCATGCACGGCTAAGTTTTTCTATATATTTTTTAGTTGGCCAATTAATTTCTTTCTATTTATAGTAGAGACGGGGTCTCGCTCTTGCTCAGGTTGGTTTTGAACTCCTGACCTTGAGCGATCCACCCACCTCGGCCTCCCAGAGTGCTAGGATTACAGGCGTGAGCCACTGCGCCTGGCCCTGATTTTATTTATATTGTTCCAATACAAAGATAAACCAATACTACCAGGTAGTTCACGAGTTTTTTAATGAGTGTATTTGATGTTAACCAAGCAAATACAAAGACATCTGCTTTATTAAAAATTAGAATAATCCATACTCTGGTTTCTCTTCAGGTCATATAAATCTTTTGCCTTTTACTAAAAAATTAGAATAATCCAGAATTATGAATCGTAAAAGACAAAGGCCCTACTCTCTCTACTAATGTATCCTTCCAGAACATTTCCTAAGCATGATATAAGAATATAGCTTTCTTCTTACAGAAAGGGGATTTTTTCCACTTAATATTACATTTCAGAATATTTCCAAATTTCCACAATATTACATATAGATTTAACTCATTAATTAACCCTAAGAAACATGTGGCATTTATTAGCATGGGTATGCCACAATTTACCTAATCTCATATTGATAGATACTTAGGTTGTTTCCAATTTTTCACGCCTACGAAAGTGTTTCTGTAGCTTAGATTCCTAGATGCAGAATTACTGTGCAAGAGAGAGGTTGTGTGTCTAAAATTTTAGTGGGTGTTGCCAAGTCCTCCTCAAAGTAGCTGAACTAACACACCCAAGGTAGTGCATAAGAAGGCCAATTTATCTCTGGGAAAATTATCAATCTTTTAATTTTGTCCAATATAATAAATGAAAAGTATCTCAGTTTTGCTTAATGTTTTTCCTTCCCGGATTATGAGTGAGGTTGTGCCTCTTCCACACAGTTACTGGCCATTTGCATTTCATTTATGATAAACATGAAGAAGTCCTTGGTCCATCTCCCGGGGGGCTCTTTGCCTTTTACGGCTCAACTTTCGGCGTGATTCATTTATTATGTGTATTACTAATTCATCTACATATGTCGAACATATATTCTCCCAGATTACCACTTATCTTCACCATGTTTAGGGTGTCTTGTGTCAAGTAAAAATGTTTTAATTACGAAGTCAAATCTGTCATTATGTTTTGCTTTATGGCTTTGGTGTCTTGTTCCACTTCTAGGATTACAGAAATACTTTTAATGCTTTTATTATTTTGGTTTTGGCTTTTAGATTTTTTTAATCTCTCTAGAATTTGGAGGGGTGAGTAATGTGTAGAGTAATCACCTAACTTTTTAAAACAATAATCACCTGTCTCAACACTGCTAATTATGAGCAGGCCATCCATCCCGTCCTCCGCGATGTGCAATGCTGCCATTGCTTCTGAAACCCTATGGGCACTTGGCTACTTTCCTTATCGTTTTCTGTTTTGTCTACTGTTTTGTTCCTTACTATTTTTCTAGCTGACAGAGCAAGTCTTTCATCTTCGGTGTGTTATAATTTAGAATCAGTTTGTCAAGCCCATTATAAATCTTCTGGAATGTTCATTTCGACTCCCTTGAATTTAGACATTGGTAGAGGGGGGCTGATGTTTGGAGATGAAGACACAGTTGGGGGCTCCCCCGCGTGAGCCCGCTGACGTCGGCAGGAGGGCGCTGAGGTTCGTGTGTTTGTTCGTTTAATCAGAAATGGCGTGTGTGTTATTAAATAGTTAGGAACATCTGTCAAGATAAACTTATCCTTCCCCCTCCCCACTTCTAATCTGCTCATCTGTTTCTTTTCATCGTAAATAGATTGCTTAAGCGCTGTCCGTCCGTTTGTGGAACACTCTCCCTGGCCGTGGTGCAACCTTCCTTTGAAAGTCTTCGTCAGATTGTGCTATGAAATCGTTTTCATCTGGAGTGAATTTGTGTCGTGCCGTGCTTCCCGCACCCCCTCCCCAGTTTTAATCTCGACCATTACATTTCTTCATAAGCTGGGGAATTTTTATGTTTGTGTTTATCTTGAGTGAGAAGGTGTTTGGTTTTTCTCTTCTCTTTTTGTCTCCCCTTTTCTCTCTCCTTCCACCCCTTCTCTGCCATCCTCCTGTCTCCATGCTTACTTCCTTTCCTTAATGACTTAAAATGACTTACATCTTTGACACATGTATTTCACGGATATTTCCCACCAGCATTTGGGTTTAATTAGCACATAGATGATCTTCCAAACAAGACAAGATCCTTAGCAAGTTTTCAGTTCTCCTTCACTCTCCACCCCAACCTCACAGCCAACTCCCACATTAAAATCATCTGAGTTTTAGTTCAATATTGTATCTTGTATTTATTTATTTTCACTTTATGCAGTGACAATCTTCTTTACTTACCTTCAAGTGTTCTTGGTTTCTTTTCTTCAGTATTGCATCCTATCTTTCTCTCTTGGGATTTTTTCTTTTCCTGAGATACAGCCTAGAACAATTTTTTTCTGGAAATGATCTGAGAAACTTTCTTTGCCCTTAAATATGCAAAATATTTCTTGCCCTTGAATGTCAGAGAAAGCTTGGCATTTTGCGATTCTATGTTTAAACATATTTTCCCTTGGCATTTTCTGGACATCTATTTAGAGTTCAGGGTCACTGATAAATCTCTTGCCAACCTGCCCCTTGTTACCTTGACAGTAACCTGTGTGTTTGTTTTCTTCTGGAAGGTTTTCCAGGATTACCCTTTTATTCTCGGAAGACTGAGAGTTTACTAGTGTGAACTGGGAATAGCACTGTTAAAAAGCAATCTTGGCAGGGTGTAGCGGCTCATGCCTATAATCCTACTACTCTGGGACGCCGAGGCAGGAGGATCACTCAAGGTCAAGAGTTCACAACCAGCCTGAGCAAGAGCGAGACCCCATCTCTACTAAAAAGAGAAAGAAATTAATTGGCCAACTAAAAATATATAGAGAAAAAATTAGCCGGGCATGGTGGTGCATGCCTGTTGTCCCAGCTACTTGGGAGGCTGAGGCAGGAGGATCACTTGAGTCCAGGAGTTTGAGGTTGCTGTGAGCTAGGCTGATGCCATAGCACTCTAGCCCAGGCAATAGAGGGAGACTCTGTCTCAAAAAAAAAAAGCAATCTTGACAGTTAAGCCCAATCTCTATCCCCTCCTACAAAGCCCTAATTTAGTAATCCCCCTTGAATAAAGTCTTCCTTACTGTCTTTTTTTTGAGGCAGATTCTTACTCTGTTGCCCAGGCTAGAGTGCAGTGGCATCATTGTAGCTCACAGCAACCTTAAACTCCTGGGCTCAAGTGATCCTCCTGCCTCAGGCTCCTGAGTAGCTGGGACAACAGGTGCATGTCACCGTGCTCAAGTAATTTTTGTATTTTTAGTAGGGACAGAGTCTCACTCTTGCTCAGTCTGGTCTTGAACTCCTGAGCTCAAGCGATCCTCCTGTCTAGGCCTCCCAGAGTGCTAGGATTACAGGCATGAGCCACCATGCCCAGCCCTTACAGTCTTTAAAAAATATTTTTTAAAAAGAACCTTGTTCTTTGTTTAGTGGACTGTTGTCTGCTTGAAAGCCCTGTGAAGTTTTCTTCTATTTCCAATTGTATCTATTTGGTTGCACAAATCTCCCAACAGCAGTGGCTTAACAACATAGAAGCTTCTTTGCTCCCTCACGTAAAGGATGTGTGGAGGTAGGCAGGTATGGTTGCCCCAGAGTGACAGCAGGCGTCCAGCTTCCTCCCTGTCACATCATCCTAGCATACGGCTTCCATCCCTTCCATCCTCAATGTAACCTCATGGTCCTAAATGGTTGCTGGAGCTCCAGCTGTCACTTCCAGGAAAGGCAGAAGGGCAAAATTGGACCCCTCCCACCTGAGCCAACTGCTTTTAAGCAGACTGTTTTGGAAGACAGTGCTTCCACTCACATCTTCTCAGACAACATTTAGTCACTTGACCACACCCAGCAGCAGGAGCGCATACGAAATACAAGCTGTTATTCTGCACAGCAATAAACCCAGCTGGAACCTGACACTGTCTGCTACACCTGCCCTCAATTCTCTCCGCCCTCTGCTTCTGGTTGTTGGAATTCTTGGATCTCTTTCCCAAATCTTAACTTTTCTCTAAAACTTTTCATCTCCTTGCCCATTTGCTCTGTCTTTAATATCGACCTTTTCCATTTGTGGCATTCATTCTGTAGTGTGGCCCATCATTGAGTTTTTTTATATTATGGATCCTAAATCTTCAAATTCCAAGAACTCTGTTTATCTGTTCTTTGCACAGCCGTCTTTTCTTTTAAATGGCCGTGATTTCTCAAATCTCCCAGAGGCTGCCCATTTAGATGCTTTAAAGGTTTCCGTTATCTTCGCTCTAAGTGTGCTTGTCTGTAGAAGTGTTTGTTGAATCAGTGCATGCCAAAATAGACATGCACGGTACTGGTGATTGGGAAATGCAGTCGCAGAGCGGTTAAGGATACAGAGTCTAGAGCCAGCCAGTTCCTTACCAGCTGTGCAAGTGTGGGCCAGTTACTTAACCTCCCTACCCCTGCATCTCCATCTATATAGTGGGGAACTAATGGTAGCCTATACATAGATGTGTTAGTATCTGTAAAGCCCTTTGAGCAGTGTCTGGTTCACAGTAAGCATTAAAATATTGTTGGCCACTGGCACGAATTCTCTCCGTGTATTGTGAATGTTCCGTTTATTTTCTTTGAGGACGTTAATCTGTTTTAACCTTTTGCAATGAAAGACGCTAACTTGTACTCTATAATTTTGCTTGCTATGGTCTGTATGTTTGTGTTCCCCCAAAATTGGCGTGTTAAAACCTAATCCCCAATGCGAGGATATCTGGAGGGCCTTTGTGGGAAGTGACTGGCACCTCTGACAGGCCCCAGAGGGCTCCCTCACCCCTACCACCACGTGTGCATACAGTGAGTAGTCTACTCTACGAGAAACAGGCCCTCACCAGATGCTAAATCTGCCCAGGCCTTGATCTTGAACTTCCCACACTTCAGAACTGTGAGTGACAAATGTCTGCTGTTTATAAGGCACCCAGGCTATAGTATTTTGTAATAGTTGCCCTAACGGATCAATACATTGGCACAAACTTTTTTTTTTTTTTTTGCACTCTCTCCTTTGCTTTATGGTTCAGTAAATTGTATAAAACACAGAAGATTTCACTTTTATTTACTTCTATCTGTCAGTCTTTGGCTACTATTACTTTTAAGCTTAAATAGTTCAAAGTTATTCACTTCTATGGCTTGCAAGTCTAACGTGATTTAACTTTTTACATTTAAATTTTTTATTATTATTTTAAAAATATTTACTTCTAATAATTTTAATTTTCTTTTTGAGACAGAGTCTCACTTTATTGCCCAGGCTAGAGTGAGTGCCGTGGCGTCAGCCTGGCTCACAGCAACCTCAATCTCCTGGGCTCAGCGATCCTACTGCCTCAGCCTCCCGAGTAGCTGGGACTACAGGCATGCGCCACCATGCCCGGCTAATTTTTTGTATATATATTTTTAGTTGGTCAATTAATTTCTTTCTATTTTTGGTAGAGACGGGGTCTCGCTCAGGCTGGTTTCGAACTCCTGACCTTGAGCGATCCGCCCGCCTCAGCCTCCCAAAGTGCTAGGATTACAGGCGTGAGCCACCGCGCCCGGCTTTAATTTTCTTTTAAATTTTTTTTTCATTTTTTATTTGATTGTCATTGCAAGGAAGCACAGAGGGATACATTTAAATTTTTTATTAACCTAATATTTGGAGGTGTGAGATGGAGATTTAGACTGATGTTTTTTATTTGGTTATTCAATTATCTCAGCATTTTTAGTTGAATATGATATCACTTCCCATTGTTCTGGGTTCCTCCTGTATCATGTAGCCCCTTCCCGGGTAAAACAGAGTTTGCTTCCAGCCAGCGTGTCCATGGATATAGTGTGTGTGTGTGTGTGTGTGTGTGTGTGTGTGTGTGTGTCCAGAGTGGAGTTGCAAGCCATCTCACAGAGGCAAAGGGGCCGCGGTCCTCTGCTGTACTGCCCTGGGTACTTCCCGAGCTGGACAGAATGCAAAGGAGGAAATCCCCAGCCCTGCGGAGAAAAAGGAACTGGCTGGCTGCAGAGGTGTTGGGGAGGAGTGACAGTAAATGGCGGGGGGTGGGGGGGCATTCTCCCAGTGCTCCAGAGAGCATGCGCGAGTTTGTGTGTGCCTGTGATCACACCGGGCGATGATGACACAGGGGCATCCGACACCAGTGACTCCCCACAGCAGATGTGGACCAGCACCCCACAGGGAGCTGCCCTCCTCTCCTGGGCATTGCACGGTGGCAGGTGTTGACGACCAGACGGGGGACCCACCGCCCCCAAGGCCATGAAGCTCATGTCCCAGCTGTCTTACCCAAGGGGACTGAGGCTCCAGGGGAGGGGACTGTCCCCCCATGTCATGCATCAGGGCCACCACTCTGGGTTCCCGCAACAAAACTGGGTGTGTCCCTGAGACCATGAGGAGCGGAGGGATAGATCATAAGTGACATCTCTTTCTGCAGGCCTGGAGGAGGCAGAGCCCAGAGGGAGGGCCTGTGACATGGGTCTCTCCTGGCCGCCAGCTGGGCAGGAGCACAGCACTCTGGAACACTGAGGACCCACCGGTGCTGGCCCCTGCTTGTCCAGAGCGGACCAGGGGGATGGTACTGTCCCGGGGGCTGCTCCCCACAGCCCTGCTGGCTCTGTGCTGGGTGCCCGGCCTGGCGGGCGCAGGTGAGTCCGGTTGCCCCCTCCCCTTCCCCACCCCCTCCTGACCGCTGGGCTTGGGAGCCCCCTCCCCTGCATGCTCCAGGACACGCCTACACCTCCTGCTCCCTTCTTTCCCTCTGCCCCTCTCCCTACCTGCCCGGGCCCCCCTCTTTTCCCTCTTCCTCCATGTCCCTGCTCGTCCATCCCTGGTCTCCTGGAATACCCGGCCCAGGCTGTCCGGCTACTCTATCTCTCAGTGCAGGCTTCCAGGCCTCCGGCCCCAGGGTAACTAACTGTTCTAGCCTTTTCCTGCCCCTCCAGCCCCAGCAGACACTCTGCTGCCCTGACGCCCCCCCCATCTCCTGCCCCCAGGCCTTTGTCCTGCAGCCCCCCTCCCCCCCCCCCCCCCCCCCCCCCGTGCCTGGAGGCCCTGCTGGGAAGGTCCTGGCACAGTGGTGCGTCCCAGTGCCTCCAGAGAACCAGCTTCTGGGACAACCATGGGAACCAGGCTCCCTTCCCCAGGCTGAGGCCCAGAGAGCAGGTGGGGGGCCTGGGGCCCACCACTGCCACGCTGCACCTCCAGGCTGGGTTTGTGCCTCCTCCCAGGCTGCTCGGTGGGCCGCAGCCTGACACATGTGCCAGGTGGGGGGCCTGATCCTGGGGCAGCGCACAGCCAGGGGGCCAGGGAGCGTGCTAAGAACCACCCAGAATATTGTGCTTCTGTCAGGAGAGGAGGCTCCACAGGCAGGAGCCCAGGAGACCCCTCCCCAGGGCTGGATGCGCTGTAGGCGCCCGGAGGGGCGGTGACAGGGTACCCTGGAGGGGACAGGGCTGACCCTGTCCTGCCTCTTCCCGGTCAGAAACCATCCCGCTGCAGACCCTGCGCTGCTATAACGACTACACCAGCCACATCACCTGCAGGTGGGCCGACACCCAGGACGCACAGCGGCTCATCAACGTGACCCTCCATCGGCGGGTGGACAAGTGAGTGGCGCTGGGTGCAGGGCCCGGCAGGGGCTGCTGTGTCTGCTGTGCCTGGCCGGGGGCCGTGGCACAGAGAGGGACGTCTCAGGGCAGCCTAGAGGGGACTGGACAGAGGACAGAGGAGGAGACGCCCTCCCCAGAGCCCCTGCCCCGCCCGCAGCGCTGCTGTCTGAGCTCGGGGTCCCGCATGTGCCTTCTCTACTGATGCAGTTGTGGTGGTGACAGTCTCTGCGGTTTCATCACAATTTGACAAAACGACCCCACATGAGCGCTCTTAGTTCCTCCTCTCTGTGAGGCAGGCAGAGCAGGGCAGGGCGGGGATGAGGAAGAGGAAACCGAGGCCGTGGAGGTGAGGGCCACACCCGGCCACTCGATGGTGAGTGCAGGCAGCGCCAGCGTGTCCTGGGGCCTCCACGGCCTCCAGATGAGGGTCGGCCCTTCTCACCCCAAGGTCTCCAGGCCACACCTCGCTGGGCAGGTGACCGGCATCGCTCTGGGATGGTAGTGAGAGACTAAATCATCCATGAACGAAATGACTACATAGCTGGAGCCACAGGCACCAGCGCCACCCCCTTGGAGGCTGCTCGTGGTGGGGCAGGCTCTGTCCCAGCCCCCAGCCCCTACCTCCACGTCCGCAGTTCGCTCTGTTGCTCTCCCAGACGCCGCCACCCTCCCTTCTCTGTTCACCACGATCCCACCTCACCCCCCCAGCCCCCCCACGCCCCCCCTGGCTGCGACTGCTTCCTGCTCCTCTGAGACAACGGGCCCTGCAGAGATGCCCCCAGCCCCGACTCACCCCCACCATGTTTGCCCGCCGCCCTGGCCCTGGGCCTGGCTCACTGCCCAGGCAGAGGATCACCCGCCCCAGCTCCTCTCTCAGGCCTGGGCCCGGGTCCCACCTGGTCTTGCTGCTTAAGGACATCACTGCCACCCCAGTGCCCGCTCTCGCTGTGCCAGTGAAGGTGCCTCTGCTGGGATCCTTCCCAATCACCCTGCACTGGCACCCTGACCCCCCTTGCAGACGCCAACAAGGACGCAGTCCCTGGCTGGCTCCCGGCACCCAGCCCTGCAGCCCCGGCCTCCCCCTGCTGCCCTGGACAGCGACACCCTCCGCTCCTCCCAGGGACCTGCCTGGAACCCTCTCGATCCGGGAGGGTTCAGCCCCACGCTCTCAGCCAGCCCCCTGTCGAGCTCACCAGTGACTGCCTGTTGCAGACTCTAAAGATCCATCCTCAGCCTTCTTGCACTTGACCCGCTGGGCTGTGACTGCCCTCTTAGAGTCACGCTCTCTTCTTGGCCTGCGGTCACTCCACTGCCTAGTGGTCCTCCTGCCTCCCTGCCCCTGGTCTTCTCTGCTTCTTTCTCCTAGTCCCCTGCCTCTGCACTGGACGCTCCGGGACTTAGTCACGGGCCCAGCCCTGGTGTCACATGCTCTGACTCCAATCTCCAGCTGCACCCTCATCCCGTCAAGACCACGTCCCCCTCCCTGCTTCACGTAGTCACATGAGGTCTCTCCATGTGACAAACTGCCCATTTCATGCCTGTTTAATGTGTGCCTGCTTCCCCCAGGGTGCCAGCTCCGTGCGTGAGGGTTTGTGTGCGTTTTGGTCACTGCCAGGCCCTGATTCTAGACAAAGACAGGCACATGGCAGCCACCTCATGCACACTGGATGAGTGAGTGACCCTCATTCACTCCGGGCTGAGCCATGTCCTCTCTTGACAGTGACCCCCTGGAGCCAGTGTCCTGCGAGCTCAGTGAGGACATGCCCTGGGCAGACTGCCCGGCTCCCCACTGTGTGCCCCGGAGATGTGTCATTCCCAACAAGACCTTCATCCTCGCCGACAAGGACTACTTCTCATTCCAACCAGACCGGCCCCTGGGCGTCCAGCTCACCGTCTTTCTGGCCCAGCATGGTGAGGGCAGGGTCCCTGTCTAGACAGTGGGCACCAGGGGTGGCCCAGGGAGTGTTCAAGGCAGGACACTGGCTTGGGATTGGATTTGGAGCCTTGAAGGCTGAGGACTTACGATGGGGGTGTTGGAGCTGGTACCATGTGGGAAGCCCCTGTCAAAGGGACCCACCCTTCCCCCAGCTGCCCCCACCTCCCCCTGAGCCAGGGGGTCAGCTCTGAAGGTTTCCCTTCAAGAAAGCCATTCTGATGACTCACATAGAAACTTACCAATTTACAAAAGTCTTCCATCTTACTTGTCTCGGGTCGTTTCTGCAGCAACCCATTACATGGATGAGGCCCTTGAGGCCCAGAGAGGTCCCATCGCTTTCCCAGAGTCCCTCCTCCCCAGCAGTAGTGACAGTGAAGGGTCAGCCTTCCCAAGGGCTGGCTGCATGCTGGACACAGAGCTGGTGGCCCCGTATGGGCTGGGAGCCGTGAAATGGTCATTTCATGTAGTTAGGGTTTCCTGGACTCTATATTAGAAAGAAATATAGCCGGCACTTCAAATTCATGGATTCAAGGACATTATTGCTTAGAATAGGCTAAATAAAAAGTGCGTTCTGTAAGCGTTTGCGTTGACATGACAGAAGCCACGCAGGTGGCAGGCTGCCAGCAGAGGCTGCGGCTCCCGCGTGACCCCGAGCGACTCCAGGCTGGGCACTGCTCTCCCGGCTTGGCTGCTTAAGAAAGGGACACAGAGGGAGGAGACTTGCCAAGGCCTTCCAGCTGCCACTGGCGGAGCTGAGATGCCCACCCAGGAAGGTCTGATTCTTGGGCCTCTGATCCCAGTCCCCGGCCACCCTGCCGCTCCTGGCAAGGGTCAGAGGCGAGGGGGCTCTGGCCTGGCTTCCTGCCTCTTTCTGCCGCCTCGGGAACCTGTTGCCGGAAGAGGGAATGGGCTAGGCCGTGAGGAGTTCACGCTGTTTGCAAACGTGTTTGACGGATGAGAGAGTCCCCTTCTGACTGGAGCCCAGAGCCCGCAGGCAGGAACACCGGTGTTGTCCCGCCTGAGGGTTTACTGACACCACTGTGTGTGCCACGGGTCGTGGGCAGAGGCACCGGCCCTGGCAGATCAGGGCAGGCTTCCCAGAAGAAAGACTCGTGTAGCTCAGATCTGAAGGGTGGCTGGGAGCTCAGGTGGGAAGAGCCTTCCCGGCAGGGTGACAGCCTGTGTCAAGTCTGGGAGATCGGGAGGGCGCAGGGTGCTGGGAAAGCGCTGGCCATCTTGTCCTGGGAGCATCGATTTCGAGAGGGCTGCAGGTGGCAGGAGGAAACAGGAGACACATGCAGGGGCCTGACCCTGGAGGGGCTTCCGTGCCACGCAGAGGCGTTGAGAGCCACCCTCTGGGCGTGGAGAGCCACGGAAAGGGAATGGCATGACTGGAGGTGGTGTGCGGATGCTGGGGGCAGGGGTGGCAGGGAGGCTGGAGCCCAGAGCATGAGCTCAGGCGCTGAGCCCAGGATAAAGGACAAAGAATGCACTGGGGTATGGCCAGGGAACGGGAACATGGGGGGACGCAAGTCATCGTTAGGACACACATGCCATTTGCTCCTTCACTTCTTCTTTCCCTGAGCGCCTACTATACCAGGAGAGCAGCGGACACGCCAGTCGGCATCCCTGCCCCTTGGGGCTTCCGGCCTAGAAATGGGGGGGGGGGACTGGCGCTCGAGACACCTCAGATATGGGGACGGGAGGGTGGCACTTGGCCTCGTGGAGCACATGTTGAATAGGAGGCAGGGTCCAGCCTACAGCAGACTGGCAATGAGTCAAGGAGCCTGGCTGACGGCTGTGCATCTGCTCTGCTCTGAGGCCCCACGCGTGGAGATCGGGACACGTCCCCTTCTCTATCAGTTTCTCCGTCTCTCAAGTCAGGTGGCCTGGTTCTGCATTGGCTTCCCAGTGTGTTCACCTGGTGGCAGCTTCCCAGGGTGCCGGGCTGGGGGGGGGGGTCCACGCTGTGACAGTGTCGGGGCGGGGACAGCAGCGACCCACGAGTGGTGGCCGTCCTGGCTGTGGCGGGCAGGGCGGCTCCCTGCTGTGTGTCCGCGGTTCTGGGTCTGTGGTTCCTGAGGGCTGCAGCTCTGACCTGCTGTAACACGCCACGGCCGTGTCTGGCGCGGAACCCTCACATCCTGCCCGTGGGGATATTTTGTGTTTCAAAGTCACCCCTCAGCCATGAGGCGGAGATACTTCAGGAAAGCAGGAGCCATGTCATTCATTAACGCATCTTCTTGGCCAACCCAGCGGGCCCAGCAGATGCCCACCTGCTTCGTTGCCGGATTTCATGAGAAGCCCCCAAGGTTGCTGACATGTATTCATTCATTCATTCATTCATTCATTCATTCATTCGGCTTGCCCCCACATTCACTCCTCAGCCACACCTCAGGCCTGGAGCTGGGGAAGGGTCCACGCCAGCCCCGTCCCCCATCTCCTGGTGCCTCAGGGCAGGCAGGCAGGGAGACACATCAATCCACGGGGGGTGGTGAGACCGCGGTGGGGGATTACGAGGAGCCACGCAGGCCAGGAGAGGGCACAGGGGTGTGCATGGGGACGGGGTGCCAGGAGGTCCCTGGGGCAGGAGCATCTGCCCTGGCGTGGACGGCGGGAGGGGCCTGGCCGGGGGAGGGAGCCCGGTCTGCCCGCAGCGCCCTCTGCTGGAGCCTCAGGACGCGGGCGGCGGGGCTGAGAGCTTCCTGCCGTCTCAGAGCTGGCGCTGTGTGTGCACAGCCCTCGCCCAGCGCCCATTCTCCTCCCCTTCAGACCCCACGAGGCTGCGGATGAGGGCTGAGGCCGGCGGAGGAGACGGGTCTTGCTCAGGGCCCGGCAGCGGCGGGGCAGGTTGCCTGGAGCCCGTGTGTCCACAGGAAGGCCACGCGGGCCCTGACCGCCACCAGCCCTCAGGCACCTTTGCTTCCTCCCCTCCAGTGCAGCCCCCCGCGCCCCAGCACGTCCGGATCCGCGCTGCCCGGGACCACTTCCTGCTGACCTGGGGCGTGGCCCTTGGGGGCCGTCAGCCCCACTGGCTGTCACAGCGGGACCTGGAGTTTGAGGTGGTCTACAGGCGGCTGCAGGACCCCTGGGAGGTAGGAGCCACAGCCAGCTCTGCCCGGGCCGGAAGGGACCGGACTGGCGGGCGCACCTCCTCCAGCCCCCGCCCTCTCCCGACAGGACGCCCCCACCCTCCGCTGCAACTCGTCCCGGGCCGTGCTGGGGCCCGAGCACCTCCTGCCCAGCAGCACCTACGCGGCCCGGGTGCGCACCCGCCTGGCCCCGGGCTCCCGCTTCTCAGGACGGCCCAGCGAGTGGAGCCCTGAGGTGCGCTGGGACTCACAGCCAGGTAACAGCCAGTCCGGGAAGTGCCCTGGGGGAGCAGGGGTCCGAGAGGCCACCTGTGGGCTTCCCAGATCTGCCCTGCTGTCTTTGCAATCCTGTCCTGGCCACCCCCTCTCCGCTGGGACTCTGCACAGGCGACTCAGTATCTGTTCACTTCGGAGTTCCAATTTTCTGCAATAGTAGAAGACAGTAGCGATTGCAATGATGACGGTAGCAATTGCAATGATGACAGTAGCGATTGCAATGATGATGGTAGCAATTGCAATGATGATGGTAGCAATTGCAATGATAAAGGCAGTAGTGCTGTTAACGGCTATGTCTTAGTGGGTGCTGCACGCAGGCAGGGCTCACCAACAGCACCGTGCTCAGTCCCCACACTCTGAAACCTAGACGCTGTCCCCATCCTCCCCGGAGGGTGCAGGTGGGAGGGTTTCCCCTGAGCTTTGGGTTCGGGCTGAAGTTTCCTCCCTGGTCTGTTGGCCGCAAGGCCCATGACCCCTGCGTGGCGCGTCCCATGGCGGCCCCCGCGACAGCGGAGGGGTGGATGGAGGAGGGAGGACTGACGAATGAAGGACTGTCTCCCCCCCAGGCGACCAGGCCAAGCCCCAGAACCTGCAGTGCTTCTTCAACGGGGCTGCCGCGCTCAGCTGCTCGTGGGAGGTGAGGACGGAGGTGGCCAGCTCGGTCTCCTTCGGCCTCTTCTACAAGTCCAGCCCGGATGCGGGGTGAGCGTGTCCCCGTCCCCTCCTCTCCTCTTGGCCTTGCTGTCGTCTCCAGGAGTCCTACTGTCCCTGGGGCCCCAGCCAAAGCCACAGCCCACCCCGGGTCTCATCCCTCGCCCCCGGGGTCCCTCCCTCCTCCCTGCCCTCAGCCAGCTGTGATCCTCAGGGAGGAGGAGTGCTCCCCGGTGCTGAAGGACGAGCTCAGCAGCCTGTACACCCGGCACCGATGCCAGATCCCCGTGCCCGACCCCGGGACCCGCGGCCGGTACACCATCTCTGTTCGGCCAAGGAGGGAAGAGAAACTCATTAAGAACTCAGAGCACAGTGAGTTTCCCTGAGCCTTCTGTGCGGGTGGTCTCGGGGCAGCACCATTTCATTGTGTAACCCCCCAAAATTCAGGGCTCTGCATGGCCCAGGCTTCATGTTGTCACTTTCAAAGAAATGCAGTCCAGTGGCCGAAGGCAAACAAAAGTAATTGTGATCTCCTTTTGAAGCTCTCAAGAAGCAATGATACAGCAATGACAATGGTCAAAGTGTGAATGAAGATACCATGTGTACCCCCAGGCACGGGTCTTCAGCCCCTGCTCCCTGGCTTTCTTTGCCCCGCCTTGCAGCTCTCAAAGCTCCTGCCGCCCACCACACCTCCTGCGCTCCCTCTAGAACTTTCCCTTGTTTCCCCCAGTTGCATTTTTCTCTTCCTGTTTTCCGAAGTTCTCTGATATTCTCAGACTTCAACAGGCATGATCCGAGGTTCATGTTTTAACTGGGGGCTGGGGTGCATGTAAGTACCTTGTTAATCCTCACAGGTTTACATCCCTCATTCCTGTTATGTGGCAATGACCCCGATATAACAGAACCCCCTAAAGTCTATTGTGATGACCAAGTCCTTCCATTCAGTCTTTAGTGCTATGTCAAGAGCAGAGGCCAGTTTGTCTTAGTCACCTGGGCTTGAGTCCACCATTAACTCTCCTGGGGGTCCTCCCTGGTAAAAGGAATTCCTACAGTTCAAGTGCACAAAATACACAAAGGGCCTAGAGTAATGCCTGACCCATAGGAGACCTCATGAATTACAGGCATTAGCATTATTTTTATAAAAGCCCTTTGAAGAAATCGAGCTTATGAGCATTGTTTGTTTTTCTGATGAATAGACTGAAGCTCAAAGTGGTTGAGTGACTGACTTAAAGTTGCACAGCTATTAGTAAGCAAATCAAGGCTAGAATGCAGAACTTCTGACTTCGTGCCCAGTTTCTGCTTTCTTTTCCCTTGGCCTCTTTCCACTTGGGGGTCTGCTGGACAGATGGGAGATGCTGTCTGCCAGGGGCTTCACCTTTCTGTTTGGTCACCATCTGTGCAGGACCACTGGCTTGTGCCAGTGGAAATAGCCCTGGTGTCTAGCGTGGAACACAGGGAATGTCCCATGGAGGATGGGTGTCATGACCACCTGTAACAGTTTCCCTCCCTCCAGTCCAGATGGCCCGCCCTAGCCTCAACGTGACCAAGAACGGGGACAGCTACAGCCTCCGCTGGGAGACAAGGAAGATGCAATACGATCACATAGATTACACCTTCGAGGTGCAGTACAGGAGAGACTCGGCCACGTGGGAGGTAAGGGCCTGTGCACGGGGGGGGGGGGGGGGGGGGCAGGGGGGGGGGGGGGGTGTGTGCAGGGGGGGGGTTTGAACAGTGGGAGGACAAGACAGGAAGAAAACACCCCGAGGAATTCACCTGCCAGGTGCCTGGCTCCCAGCAGGCGGCCCGTCAGAGGCAGCCCCGGGACTTGGTGATCACCACCCTGTGCAGTCGGCAGGTCACTGTCCCACCTCTTGGAGAAGTAGCTGAGGTTCAAAGAGGTGATGTGACTTGGCCCCAGCAACACCTGAACTTGCATTGCAAGGGAACATAGGCTGTCAGGGCTGGAAGGGGCTGAGAGAAGGCTGGGATGAGGGTTTAAAAACGTCACAAAGCCCTGGGGACATTTCTTTAGAGAACTCTTATCTGGACCCAGTGTGCAGCCGCTCAGAGGACAGCTGCTCCTGACGGGGCAGGGGTGCCAGCCCAGGGCTCAGTCTCCCGCCCCAACCCCCAGGCAGGCCTCGAGGCCTCCACGGAGCCCTGAGCAGAAACCACAGAGCCAGCCCCAGGCTTCAGGCTAGAAATAGGGAAACTGAGGCCAGGAGGGAGCTGGGTCAGTGGTGGAGCCGGGATCTGGCTCCAGGCTCCTGAACTCCCACCTCAGGGTCCAGAGTCCAGTCGACCTGCACTGCATTTCTGGAGAGGCCAGAATTTGGGTCCAGGCTGCCCGCCCAGAAGGCTGGGAGGTTGGGCAGTCTAAAACTGAAGGTGGGGCCAGGTGACCGCTCAGGGTTCTGGGCCTTGGTGTTGTCCTGTGTCGGAGGGCTGTGTTGACAGAGGGGGAGCCCCTGGCTCCGGCTGGAGTGCTGTCCCTGGCTGGGCACCCCAGTAAGCCCTCCATGGGGGGTGAGGCCACAGCAGGTCTGGGATGCAGTAGCAGCTGGTGACCGAAGGGGAACAAGAAAACCTGGAGCGTCCGGGTGGGAGGGGTTTGCGGCCGTGCCCACGGGCACTGGGGTCCTCAGCACACCTGCTGACACGCGCAAACCCACAGGACAGCAAGACCGAGGCCCTCCAGAACGCCCACAGCATGGCCCTGCCGGCCCTGGAGCCCTCCACCGCGTACCGGGCCAGGGTGAGGGTGAGGCCCTCCAGGCCGGGCTACAGCGGCATCTGGAGCAAGTGGAGTGAGGAGTGCTCCTGGGAAACCGACTGGGGTGTGTCTCCTGGCCTCTCCCACCCCTCCTGCGACAGCTCAGCTGGGCAAAGGACAGGGCTGACTGAGAGGCTCCAGGCCCTACCCCACCTGGGCCTCCTTCCCTCCAGCTGTCACTAGTCTTTGGAAGCTGACACCTGGCATGCAAAACAGACTGCAGCTGAGGATTGAAGGAGCAGAGGGGAGCATGTCTCACCATCCCTCCTTTTTCAAACTGGGGCTTAGGCCTCTATTAACATGACCCTTGGTTTCATTAGCCTTTGTGGCAGCCACTGCCCAGTGGTTGATCAGCCCACCTCTTTGCACTTGCCTGCATTCACTGGCCCCTCACCTTTCACCATAGTGACCAACAGGGCACTCATAGAACAAGACAAGGTCCATCCAAGGGGTGGCTTCAGACACAGAATAGAGGAGGTGTTGGGAGCAAGCCCCCGAGTCCACAGCCAGCCTTAGCAGGGGAGGAGGCCCCGAGAGAGGCCACAACCAAGCAGAAAGGAGCCTGGACCAATGGGCCGGAGGGAGGAAGAAGAGGGGAGTCCTGGAGGGGCCCAGCCTGTGAGGGGCTCAGGGCTGGGCAGCAGGAAGGGTCAGGGGCTCCTGAGGTGCCTTTGCACCTGCTGGTTCCTCTGCCAGCTCGGCTTTTTCCATCCCCACCTCTCTCACTCTCTCTGTTCCTGGAGGCCCAGCTTATGTGCTGCCTCCTTCAGGAAGTCCCCTGTGATTGCCATGGACTGTGGTCCTTGCACTCCCCATATACCTCTTGCTTCTGGAATGGCTCTAACCCTCCTGTGTCCTCCCCAGCACGTTGAACATTGTGGAGGTTCAGACCAGTGCCCTCTTTTTCTTAGCAGGTGCCTGGCCCCTGCCCACCCCCAGAACTCCCCAAGGTCGTTAGCTTCCAGAGCCCTGTGCCTGCACAGAGCAGAGTCTTGGGGGGATACTGAGCCAACCCCACCCACCCTGCCCTGCCCCCACCTCCTGAGCCTCCAGCCTTTCCCCCTGGATGCTAATGCCCCTCCTCCTTCCTGGCTGTGGCAGTGCTGCCCACGTGGGTCCTGGCCCTCATCCTGGTCTGCGTCACCCTCACCTTGCTCCTGGCCCTCCGCTTCTGTGGCATCTATGGGTACAGGTAAGGGGACTCTGTGGGATTCAGTGGGGGACCCAGGACCTCAGGGGCTGCCAGGGCCCCCAGCCCAGCTCCCTCTAGTCCCTGCTCTGTGCCACCCACCTTCTGGGCCTCAGTTTCCCCTGTGCACATGAGCATGGAAGCAGCTGGCCGGCCCTAGAGTCTCTGATGGCTGTCACCTCCCTGGTGTCTTCAGGTTGAACAGGAAGTGGAAAGAGACCATCCCCAACCCCAGCAAGAGCTTCCTGTTCCAGGTAGGATCTGTGAGGGGCGCAGGGTCCTCTGCTCCTGCCTCCTTGTCCCTGTCCCTACCTCCTTCCCTTCCTGTGGCTGTGGGCGGTAGGGTCTGGGAAGCCTGGGGAGGGCCTGGTAAGCTTTGAGAGCGGGACAGAGCTTGGAGGCGGCTGCCTGGGCTCCCCTGGGCACGTGGAGGCGCACAGCCCCAGCCCTCCCTGCCGCAGCTCTGCACGGAGGCTGGTGGAGGGTTGAGTGTGGGGGCGCCCCGGGGCAGGGGGCTGGAGGGCAGCGTCACTGCCACTGGGATGGGTGGGTGTCCCGAGGCAGAACAGCCCCCAGGGACAGGACACCTGAGCTGAGCCCTGAAGTGTCCGGGTGGTGTCAGGTGGCAAAGGTCGCCGCAGGCCCCGGGCATCTGGAGGGGAGACAAGGCCCTTTATGCAGGGGCTGAGCGGCGGACCGGGACCGAGGCTGGGGACGTCCCGGGGGCTGAGATGAGCAGCGGGTGGGCGCCGGCTTGGGAGCCCGTGCAAGCCCCTGGTCCGGCTCGCGGTGCCGGGTTTGCTTGCGGAGGGGTCTCAGGGCCGGTGTGAAGGAGGAATGGGGTGAGCCTGGGCTCTGTGACACCCCAGCTAGGGGACTCACAGGAACAGGGCCCTGTCCTCAGGTGTTGAGGGCCGCGGGGAGGCCACGGCCTCTCTCCGGGCCTCACTTTCCTGGTGTTGGAAGGCTGGGACTGTTCCTGACAACGTGGAGAGTCTCCCCACGCCCGGGGCTCCCTGAGTCCCGTGAGCCCCCCTGCCCTCCGCCCTCCGCCCTCTGGAGGCCCCCTCACGCCCACAGGCACAAACGTCCCTGCTCTTCCAGAACGGGAGCGGGGGCATGTGGCTCCCAGACGGCGCGTTGGCCTCCACTGGCAGGAGCCCCCCACGCCAGGGGCCCCGGGGCAGCCACTTCCCTGGGCTGGAGAGGTGAGTGTCTGGGCTCCCTGGTGGCTCCCGACCTCTGGGGAGCAGGTGGGGGGTGGCCCTGCTGTGCACGTCAGGGGCCCGAGTGAGGTGGCCTCCGGCCTGTGGCTCACAGTGAAGAGATCCAAGGAGGCTCGTTTGCACTAAAGCAGGAGGGACCCGGGTGGATATCAGGAAGAACTTCCCTTTCCCAGGTGAGGGAGGGCCAGACAAGGGACTTGACCGGAGGCCGGAGACCGGAGCAGATGGCGTCCCCCTGCCCTGCTGCCCAGGGAGGTGCCACAGTGCAGAGGCCTCGTGGGGCAGCTGGGGTACAAAGGCCCCGGGCCCTGGCGCCCGTGCAGGCGGCCCCTTGGGGGGCGCTGACGGCACGGCTGGTAGGGAGAAGGAAGAGTGGATGGCGCACAGGCTGGCCGTGAACCTGGCGCTGAGGGCGGGTGCCCGTGACGCAGAGGGAGAGGCCACCGGCCTGGCAGAGGAAGGCCTTGACCCAGGCATGGAGGATGAAGTGTGTGGCTAGGGAGAGCCTGAATCAGCGTCCGTGCGGTGTCCCTCTCTGGGGCTCCTGCTCCCCTCCCCTCCCCGCTCAGGGGCTCACTGCAGCTGGGTGGCTCTGGCCCTCCGGACAGCCGCCCCAGCCCGCTCCAGCCCTGAGCAAGAGCCAAGTCCTCTGCCCGGGGGCTCTGACATCTCTGCCCATGCTCTCCCCACAGGGTCATCCCTGTGGGCTTCCAGGACGTCGAGGTGTCACCTCTCACCACAGAGGACCCTAAAAGTGTCTGCGACCCGCCATCAGGGCCTGATGTGACTCCGGCCGCCTCTGGCCAGCCCACAGAGCAGCCCCGCAGCCCCCCGCCGGCCCCGCCAGAGCCCTCGGGCAGGCCTGAGGATGAGCTTTCCAGCTTTGACTTCAACGGCCCCTACCTGGGCCCGCCCCGCAGCCACTCTCTGCCTGAACTCGGGGACCAACTGGTGTCCCCGCAGCCAGGGGAGGGCCAGAAGCCGCCCCCAGGGTCCCTGGAGTACCTGTGTCTGCCTGCTGGGGGGCAGGTGCAGCTGGTCCCACTGGCCCAGGTGGAGGGGCACGGCCAGGATGTGGAGCGGAGGCCCAGCCCCGGGGCTGAGGGGAGCCCCTCCTTGGAGTCTGGGGGAGGCCCTGCCCCTCCTGCACCTGAGTCAAGGGGGGATGGACAGGGCCCAGTGGACAGTCAAGTGGCTCTGTCCACAGGCTCTGGGGACCCCAAGGATGCTGCCATGGCCTCTGGTTATATCCCCGCTGCAGACCTGTTATTCACCCCAAGCTCAGGGGCCCTGTCTGTCTCCCTGGCTCCTGCTCCAGGCCAATGCTCAGACCAGAGCCCCAGCCTCTGCCCTGGGCCGGCCGGGGGGCCTGTGCCAGCCCCCATGAAGCCAGGCTTCGAGGGCTACGTGCAGCTCCCTCCACCCACAGGCCAGTCCCCCAAGTGCCCCCTGGGCAGTCCTGCCCCTCCTCCGGCCAGCAGCCCCGTGCTGAGCCCCATGTTGAGCCCCGCGTTGGCGTCCCCACAGCCCGAGGGGCTCCTTGTCCTGCAGCAGGTGGGTGACTACTGCTTCCTCCCTGGCCTGGGCCAGGGCCCTCTCTCACCCCGGAGCAAGCCGTCCTCCCCAGGGTCCTGCCCTGAGGTCATGGATCTAGACCAGACTTTTCAAGTCAAGAAGCCCCCGGGCCAGGCGGGGACCCAGGTGCCGGCCATCCAGCTCTTCAAAGCCCTGAAGCAGCAGGACTACCTGTCCCTGCCCCCTTGGGATGTCAGCATGCCTGGCCAGGTGTGCTGAGCCCCTCCAGACCTGGCGAGGCAAGTCCTGCCCCCCTCCCGCCAGCCTCCCGCCCCTTCCATGGTCACCTCTGCAGAGCCCCAGGGAGGCCTCCTGTCCAGGAAGGGAGTCAGCCCCGCTGCTGTCCCCAAATCACTCCGCTCCCCCCTAATAGACACACACACACACACACACACGTGCACGCGCGCACACACACACACACACGTGCGCGCACACACATAGTTCAGGTGAATTTATGTTTAGGCTGTGAATGATTAGGCTTTCCATCATACTCCTTCCATCTCCCCCTCATTTCTTTTTTATCAGGTTTCCTTGCTTTTGCTATTTTCTTCCTTCCTTCACTGATTGATCGTCAGAGTGTGGTTGGGGTCCGAGCTGAGCCTACTCGGAGATCGAGACGCGTCTGGTTGTGTGCGAGGGCTTGTGTGGGCTGCCTGTCCCCGGCAGGAACTGACACCTGACATGGTTCTTGCCCGGGTGCCGAACCAGGAGGCACCAAGTGGGCACGATAGGGGCAGGACTTGGAAGGGCAGCACAGACCGGGCAGTCCAGGGTGTGTGGGGGGGAGCAGCGCAGCCCAGCCGTGTCGTCAGGAAACGGGCGTGGTAGGAGGGGTGCAGGGGTGAACGTGAGAGGCTGTGTGGGAGCTCCCGGGGAGCCCTGTCGCAGAGACAAGTGAGAGCTCACGTCATGTGGAGAAGTCACTGATTGGACAATGGTGGTTAAGGGCAGAAGTGACGGCCAGTCTAGGACCTGGGGAATATCGGGAAGTGGGGGAAGAGGAATCCAGAACCCACATCTGCTGCAGAAGAGTTGGAAGAAGTTACTGAACAAAGGATGATGCCTGAGGGCTTTCAGTCGGCGTGGCCTGCTTCCCTCCCTTCCAGAAAGCCTGTACAGCTTCCACGCTGAGTGGCCGCCATGAGGGACTGTCGGTCTAAGTCTGGGCCTGCAGTGGGGATGATGGTTCCTTTAAATCTTTGCCTTTCTGGCACACAAAAAACAGTGGCATTAAATTGCTTTGATTTGCATTATGTGATAATTGTCAAGTTTGCACATATTTTTGTACGTATTAATGTCTTGGGCATTGGTATTTCTTAACTAGGCTGAGCCTATTAAGGTCTTTGTTCTGTTGGGTGCTATCTTTTGCTGATTATGTTTTTAAAACTATTTACGTATGCCTTTTCGTAGATGGTGCAAAGTTTTCCCCCTGAGTTTGTGATTTGTCTTATAATTTCGTATGTGAGGCTTCTGAGGGTGCTCAGCGTTGAAGCTTCTGTGTTGTCCAAGAGATCTATGGTGAAATCCTTCTGCACTTTTGGGGTCAGACTTACAAAGGCCTTCCCTACTGCAAAGTTGCGTTTGTCATCATTTATATTTTTTTTTCTAGTTCTTTTTGTTCCAAGCTTTTTATGTAAAATTTTCTTTTGGAAGGTGTGGATGAGAGACAGAAGCGTGTTCGCAGCATCTGCCGAGTCGTCCATTCTTTGTCCACGTATCTGAGATGCCGCTTGTATGACGTAGCAAGTCCTCGCACATGTACTCCGTCAGTTTCTAGGTTTCCCGTTTTCATTACCTTGTTTTCTTGATGGCACCCTCCGTTTTGGTTGTTCTAGTTTTACCATGTTTTAATAAGTGGCAGAGCAAGTGTTCTTGTTACTTTTGTTCCTATATCCCTGTTCATTACAGCAATGCTTGTGGTTGAAGAAATGTATACACAACTTAAATGTCCATCCATACTGAAATTCCCATAACATTTTAGTACATTCTAAAGTAGAACCCTCTGTTAAAAATGAATGACATGGGCCCACGTGTATTAGAAAGAAGTCCAGGGTATTAATTCCAAAATATCCGGACATCGCGAAGGAGCAAAGACTGCAATAAAATCTTTGTGATATAAGACAAAAGCCTGAATGTCTGTGTCTGTGTTGGAGTAGTTGGGGGTAGGTGCTGCTCTTTGAAACCCCAGTTGCCTTGGAAGGAGGGTGAGTCTGTTAAACAGAAGGGCCTTTGGTTTGGGGCCCACGACAGTGAGCACAGGACGGCGCACGAGACACAAGGGACAGCTGTGTGGCTGTGCCCAGCGGAGGGAGAAGTGGTGGTGGGGACTGGGGGGGAAATCCTGGGAAAATCCAGGAGGGATGAGGGAAGAAGAAAGGCATGAGGGAGAGGAGGATACAGAATCTATGCTAAAAAAAATTATTCGTTGTTATCTGAAATTCCAATGTATCCGGCATCCTGTGTTGGACGTCTAGTCCCTTGAGAGTGGACAACTAAGTAAGAGCCTGAGTTCTCCAGCGAAATGGCCAAGAAGGATCACGTGCTTCTTCCCAGCCGGCCTTGCCCGGGGCATGCACAGGACCAACTCCTTTGACCTTCCTGACTCTCGGAGGCAGAAACTCTCTTTGTCACAGCAGTTTCGTGACAGGAAACTAAGGCACAGCGCAGTCACACGACCTGCCCAGGTGAGCCGGCATGGAGGAGCAGAGCAGGATTGGAACCCACACCCCGCAGTTCAGAGCGAAGACAAGTCTCTCACCTGAGAGCCACACGAGGGTGCAAGGTGATCCACGCTAGCTGGCAAGACAGAAAGATCCATAAACTGAATTGATTGGCGGGAGGGGGAGATTGAGCCAGAGGTGACCGTGAAGAATGCTCGTGTTCCCCTGGGAGCTCGAAGATGAGGGTGCGAGTTCGCACACGCTGGAGTCCCCCCGAGAGACCCTTCTAGGAGGGCTGCGTGTCCCTCACCTGTCTTTCCGTCCAGACCAGCGACACGCACATCGTGGTCACTACTGGGGAACGGACATTGCATGAGGCTTGCAGGAGGCTGACCCTGAAATGGAGGTAGACAAAATATTGACTGGGGGATGAAAGGAATGGCAGGGAACCTGTACACAAGAATTGGCCATCCTAGAAATCCTGGCATGCCTTTGAACCTTATGCCAATACCTGCAAGCAGAGGCCCTATAAACCAACTGGGGTGCCCAAAGGGGGTTATTCTCCTGTCCTTCCTTATTTTTAAAGGATTTAAGAGGCAATGGAGAAGATTCCTTAGAATGCACCTCCAAATCAAAATTAGGATCCAAACCACAATTTTCTGGGAAAAGGACCAAGAGCTCAGAATAAACCCAAGGCCCATCAACCACCACTTTCTCTCATATGCCATACAAGTGGTGCATCAATACAAATGTACCAGGCAAGCCGTGCAAAAACTCACAGTCAAGCACAAAGAATGTAGGGAATTCCCAACACAATCTAAATGCCACGGCCTACCAATCAAATGGGAATTTCCATGTAACAGCCACTTCTCACACACCAGCATATATTGGATGACAACAACACCGTTCTCTTTACACAGAGGTTCATAGCTGTAAGTTCTTCCTTACGTTGCAACAAAACTCACCAATAACACACAGACAATACAGGGCATCCTCAACACAAAAATGCCAGGGCCTTTCAAACAGCTGGGTCTCCAAAGAAGATAACCCCCACCCCAGCTGGAAGGTTCAAACCCTCCCCAAATGGTGGCCTGTCCCCCCATTCCCTGTGAACAGTGAATGAGCTCTGAGTTCAAACCAGCTTCCCTAGTTCCACTCAACCTCGTGACCCCCACCCCCAAAAGGTGCTTCAAAACAAACGAAACCAACAGGAAGGTCTGAAAACCCTCCATGTGGGTGGAATCAGGGTCGCTTCCTTCTCCACAACTCAGTTCAGGTTGTGGGAGCTGCGCCTACTTCAGGGAGACAGAGACAGGAGTTCCCCAGAGCTAAACCAGGCTCCGGCGGCTGCGGGGCCCGTCCCTTGTTCTGTCACCTCAAGAAGGAGTTGCTCCTACCCACAAAGCCCCTGGCTTTGATCCAGGCTGCTCCCTGCCTCCTCTGGCAGCCATGGGCTGCCATCCCACCAGGGCACATGATGGGCCCACCCAGTACACCAAATTCTGTTGCCAAAAGTTTGACACTTGTCCCCAAGGCCACATCAGAGGAATGAGGGCAAGTGGTTTAAGAAGGACAGAGGAGTTAATTAGTTTGCCAGCAAATGAGGAGGCTGGCAGACTCTGTCTCAAAGTACCAACGTCCTCAAAAAAAAAAAGACATTTTAATAATACAAAGGAAGATTCCACAAAACTACAGCTGAAAAAATCTTTAAAAGAAAAACCAAAAAAATAAAAATTAAATTAAAAAATAATACAAAGGAAGAGAAAAACTCTAATCTCAGATAACAGGATGGTTCCTTTTATGAAAGGGCAGCTGGCATTTCCATCGCCCTTATTTTCTGTGGGTTTCTCTTCACATGAAAGGGCAGTGAAAGTTTCATCCTAGACCAGTCCTGGTCTCTGCGATGGCTTTGGGACCTGCCGTGGCCATAGCGCCCCCTCTGCTGGCCTGGCGAGTTTGACCTGAGAGGCTGACTCCCTCCAGCTGGGGGCTGACAAAGGGAAGCAGAGAGTAGTATTCCCAAGGCGTCTCACAAGAGCACAGTTTGCCCTGGAGGACTCGTAGGCGTGATCCAAATCTGGCCCCGAGCCTCCTTCCCAAGCCCAGAACTCCTGTCCCCGGGGCCCCAGGGTGCCTGGACTCTGGAAACCCCGCTCCAATTCACTAAGGGCAGGAAGGTGTTCATTTGTCCTGAGAAATCCGACAGGCAAGCCGGACAGAGCGCAGAGCTGGCCCGTCCAGCACGCCCTCGTTCTGTAGAAAACCTTGTCCGGAAGCCGCCTGGTACAAGCCGCAAGCCGTGCGGCAGGGCAACAAGTGTGGGGTGGTGTCAGACTCCGACGGGGGCCTGTTGCACTGTGACCAGAGCCAGGCAGAGCTCACAGGTGGGCCGGGATGTTCTTCTCCCGGAACGGGCTGCAGGCAGAGGCGAGCAGCCTCTGCCAGGCCTGGCGTGCCCCGGGGGCCGAGGTTGGGACAGCCTCCCCTCTCTGGACCAGAGGGCAGATTGGTTCTCCTTGATCCCTGTGAAATAGCAGCAGCTGTGCAATACCAAGAGACCAAGATTCGTCAGAGAATGTCCTCTGTTTCCTATTCCTTACTTTGCCGGTCATGACCCAGACATCCCTGTTTCCTGTACTCTGCTTGTACGTGAGATTCTTCAGCCTTCCAGACAGTCTTCGGGTCTGGCTTTATGCACGTTCTCCTTCAAGTGGGGGCGACACCAGCAAGATCGCCCATGGCCCAAGAGAGCCCCTGTGACGGCCAGATGGAGAAGTTGCTAGAGCCATGTGACATGCACTCGCAATTGTCTTTTATCTCACTTGGGATAATGATGCAATCACTTTTCTCTAATTTTTAAGAGAAGCATCTACATATATTAACAGCAAGCAAGTGGAATTCCAAGCACAGAGTTCTGTAGCATAATTTTGAGAAGGCAACTTTGAACAAAGAGCTGCAGACATCATATAATTCTTTAGGCATATGCAAGCTTTTCTTGGAAGAGACATGAAGACCTCAGCATAGCTTGCTTTAAAAATAAAAAAAAAGAATAATAGTGAATAAGAAAGAAAGAAAGAATAATTCCCTCTTCCCACAAGAAGAAAGTCCTGATGCAGGAGGTCTTAGGTTCAATGAGCAGCAAGAGATTAACTAAGACAATGTCATTTGTTCCACTGAAATATTTCTCTGTTACCATGGCTATGCCAGACTCTTCCCATCACTATAATTTATGACACATTTTCATATTTGATGTCCTCACTCATTACTCTTCTTTTTTAACATTTTATTGGATCGTATCATGACATTATTCTTCTAAATTATCATTAGAATCCATTTATCAAGTCATAAAAAAAGTCTTCTCAGAATTTTTATTGGAATTGCACTAAATTTAATTCTTAATTTGTGAAGATCTGACAGTTTTGACAGCTTTGTAATATTGGATTTTTTTGATCCACTAACTATGGATCTACATTTATTTGGGAATTTTACTTCAGCAAATTTTAAAGTTTCTCTCTAGGTTCTTATTCAATTCATCTGCAGGTTTTTAAGATATTTCAGAGCCAGTTGGCCAGCCTACCTTTTCTCTCTCTCAATATCTATTTCTCTCTCTCTCTCTCTCTTCCCCTCTCTCTCTCTCTCCCTCTTATTTTTCTCTTTTATGGCTAATATCTTCCCAACCTATTTTATTCCAATTGGTTATTATTAGTAAAAGGGAAAGCTATTGATATTTTAATAATGAATTTATACCTAGCTCCTTCCTGAAGTCTTATCTGTTGAATAAATCTTGTTTAAATCTTACAGGTTTTACATAGGGTGAATGTTGGGGAAAAAATAAAAAAATAAAAAAAATAAATCTTACAGGCTTTCTAGACATGCAATCATACCTTCTTCAAATTATAATAATTCTTAACTCTTTTTTCTTCTTACCCATTTCAAGTTTGCAAATTATAAAAGTTTTGTCTCTCCTTTTCAATACTTATTTTACCTATTGTTCGTGTCCTGGATTTGCTGGAAAATTTAAAACAGTGTAATACTTGGCAGAGCACACAGCTGTCGTCAGTGGGATTTTGTAGGGGATGACAACGGCTTCCCCAGTCACGAGACTTACTATTGAGTTCCGAGAAATGCTCTTTATCCTACTAGAAATATTCTACATGTGACAGCAGACCCTCGCCTCTCAAGAGTCTATACCCAGGGAAACGTTTTTCTGCCCCTACCTCCAAGCGGCCAGTGAGGCTTTTTATTAATAACGAAATGCATTTCAGACTAAGACCTCACCAAAAGGCCCCATGGCAGGCCACAGAGGTCCGTGACCAAAACGGCCTCCGTGTTCCCCTCTGCTTGACCAAGCTGTAGACAGGCTTCTCGCTGACTCCGGGCCATGACCCCCCTTACCTTAGAACATTCTCTTTAGAAGACGTGTCATTGGAAATTATTTCTCTGTCGCTTTGAGATGTCGGT